ACCACAGGCCTTCGATGGACCTGGTCCACAGGTGCCTTCACTGTGGCAAAACAGTAGGATTTCAGCTAGCTCACACACAGGGGTGGGACCTTTGCTGTGTCCTACAACACAACCATCTACAGCGGTCGTTATACGTGCCCTGCTCTTAAGCTATTTCAAGGACTTCCTTCTCCAACGCTATTAAGTTCCAGACTTTCTATTTTGAGCAATTTGTTCAATTTGAATAAGGATATTAACATGCCTGAGCTCTGTGGTTATAGAGTAAAAATAAAATGGGTCAAGAAATGACATAGTTAATGGCGGAATGAGAACTTTCTATGTATTGCATATACACACTGATGTTTGTTGGTAGACTACTACCACATGGAAAATGCCATACATATAGGACAATCTTCATTACAGCAAAGAAAAGCTTAACAAAAGTACTTTTTTGGCTATTCCTTCTCTCTCCTCTAAAACCCTTGTTTTTCAGAGCTTGACTTTGCATTCCTAAGATTAAATTTTTCAACATTTCACAGAAATAACACAAAGAATGAACCAGGAGCATGTGATTGGTTTTGTTTTGTCATGGATGTTTTGCATCATAAACGATTGATTCCATCTTAACCATACGCTTTGTGGATTTATGTAAAATGCACCTATAACCATGTCACGGATAGGTGGAATAATAATTTTAAATCAAAAGTATCTTGGGATTTTTAATTTTACAGTGCAGTAGAACTTGTCTTAGCTAACTGATGGCTCCAAACAAGCCAAAGGACCAACAAGATATAGGTCCTTAACTAGATGGATCTTCTAACAAAGGTGAAGTAGTTTTTTCCTCCTTTAACACACAGAAAATTTTGAATAATCTCTTAAGACAGTAATTTTTCTAATATTTGGAAAAGCCTTAGTATAGCTAATGCAGAATTTGTTAAAGATTATATTGCACGAATTCTGTTTTTATATCTGTCAAGCTCTTTAAATACAAAGCATAATACAAGAACAGTGACTCCAATAGTTAAGTCTCTCACTGAGGAGGCTCAGGCAGCTCACTCTATAAAGACATTGTCTTTCAAATGAATCAGGTATGCACAATCACTAGGTACCAAAAATCTCAGTAATTGTTATCTAAATTTTATGAATCATACAGATGACCACATTTATTACATTTCAAATACCTGAAGATTATTGTTAGCTATTTCCTCTTTAGACAATTAAAAAGTCTTACTTACTGTGGCATTCATTTATCGTATTTATATAATCACACAGTTCAGTTAAACAAACAAAAAATGAACAACAAAAACTCTATGATATTTATAATGATCAGTCTTTTAAAATTCACACTTCTTTCTCCTTGCTGGTTAGTTAAAGACTTTATCCATTTAAACGGACAGCTTCCTCATATTCTTTTCTAAATATAAAGCCCGAGCTATTTTCAGGCCACTCAAGGAAAGTCATTGTGTGAAACACCAAACTCTCTGATTTGCTGCTGGAATATGCATTCCAAAATGTCATGTTGTCCTGCTAATGGACAGGACCAGATAACACTTATGACCACTGCTGATTTAGATCACTGATTTCTTCACACTCAAAGTCATTTCAGTTAACAAGGTATATAGAATTTCAGTTTTGAATAGCAGTGTCACAGACACAACCCTCTTTCTCTCTGAAAAGTCACCTGAATTTGTGCATTTATACAGCTTTTGATAAATATAAACTGGAAGGAAGCTGCCTCTGTGGTATGCAGAACTGTACAGTCAACCCTTGGTTGTCTGTGGGTGTGTAACCCAGGTTGCAGATTAGCTGTGCTATGCTAAGACAAAGCAGAAAGGAAAAAAAAAGAAAAAAAAAAAAGGAAAAACACCCACCATTTTTCTTTGGATTTCTGATCTCACATTTACTTCACCTTAATTTAATTCTTCAATAAATCTAATAAATACAGGAAGTTCTTAGTCTTGTGTGCATATGCTTTGTATTACCAACGCTATAGCTTTATGCAGGTTGGTCTTCTCTATTTCCATTTTCAATAATTGAGCTGACTGTGTAACCATGGAAGAGCCCAGCAACCCAGTTTTTATTTGACGTTTGTTAAAAAAAAAAGGATTTTAGTCTAAACACATATCCAAATTCACCTCAACAAGAACTATCAGACTTCCCTTTTGCTTTTTAACCCACAAGTAGTAACGGCCTGCTGCATTCCCGGGCTCCTGCTAATAAAACGAGCATGTTCTCATGCATGACACGCGGAGCGAAGGCAACGCAAGGGAACAAACTCAGTGCACTTAAACAGAGAGAGAGAAAGCGGACTCCTCTGCCCCCAAGGCCTAGAGACTGACTGAATGCCATTTTGCAAAAATATTTTGCAGCCGAACCAAAGATGTTGGCTTAATAATTCACTAACTGCACATTTTACTTGTTTAGAGGGTCATTAACATTGAATATGCTTTTCGGAATCAAATGCTCCCGGGCAACACAACAGTAACATAACTTGGGGAGCATCTATGTCATGGCGAAAGCCAAAAGTCAGAGGTAGTCCACGCTGGCAGCTAAGTGCTGTGGAATGACCACTCTGAGAACTCCCAAAGCAGCTAGCAGGAACCTGCCATCTCAGTCGTCTTCAGGAAGGGAACCCAGATACTGACAGCGCCCGGGAAACTGCTGCGAGAAGCTACTGCTAGGGGACATGGGCTCCTTCTATCTACAGTGGAGGAGGAATGGTAAAATACTTCTTAAGGAGCCCTGGAGAAGGAAAAATATACGACTCAGGAAATGAAATATATCTTCAAGGAGTTTTCACAGACAGACTGTCAGAGCACCAGCGGGGCAGCAGAGGGGAGCAAACAACAGAAGCAGAGAGCTTTTCTTGAGGGCATGTGTCTTTACCTCTTTTTTCTGACACCTTACTCAGGAAAATTAAAACAACTAATTTTGCATGATGCCCATAAGCATTACAGATGGATTCAGATATGAAATACTGTGACATTCATAGCTATTCTGAAACAGAACGGTAACCTACCATCCAGGAATGCTAGCTTTGGTAACAGCCTAAATCGAGGATTACAATGAAAGCAAAAAGCTTTTCATACTGTGACAGACAACGGTGTACTGAATGGGAGGGAACTTCCTTGCTCCTTTGAATTTTTGCTGTAATGTATGAAGTTTGATATGCTGACTAGGATCAAAATGACAACCATGACAAAAATAGCAGGTACTATTTTAATGCATGTATACATACAATCCTTGTAGGAGTCTTTAAACTACTTGACATCCTGTGCCAGTGAGTTCCACTGAGTAATATTTTTGCATAAAACATTGCTTGATATGTAGCCTTTTAATTTCATTGAACATCCCCTTGATCTTTTAACACTGCAGAGAATAAAAGGAAGTACTTCTGTCACAAGACTTCTTATGGAACAACTATAAAAACTCACTTAAAGAGAAAGTACCTTTCCTTTGCCAGGTAGTAATACAATCGTGTATTTTTCAGTTAGTCAAAGGAATTATATTCATATCAAAAGAAAACCATTTAGCAAAATATTTGCTTTCAGACTTGTTCACTGTTTATTATTTTAATTTACATCAGTTACTTCTTGCAAAACTTCCAGGGAAATATTTTTAAATAGATTTTTTTTCTTTTCCCACTGCATAGTAAATACAGCCTTCTTAGTATTTCAGAAGCATAGTACTATAGAAACACTAGGGCCTGCTTCTGCTCCAAATGAAGTTAATGGGAAAACACCAACTGACTTGATTAGGAGTTAGATCAGGCCCTGAATTTGCAGCTTTTGAAATTTCATAGTTGAAAATGTTCTGGCTAATCTTCAGAACTGACTACTTCTACGACTACAACACATACAGCCTTCTTAGTATTTCAGAAGCATAGTACTATAGAAACACTAGGGCCTGCTTCTGCTCCAAATGAAGTTAATGGGAAAACACCAACTGACTTGATTAGGAGTTAGATCAGGCCCTGAATTTGCAGCTTTTGAAATTTCATAGTTGAAAATGTTCTGGCTAATCTTCAGAACTGACTACTTCTACGACTACAACACTATTTACAACTTTATTTATATGTATTTCTTTATTACAATATGTAATATCAATGTTCCTTGTAAAGGTTACTATTTTATAGAAATTAGACTGAAGTTATTGCCAATCAACCTTTTAATAAACTTAAGTGGGATAACTTTCAGAATTTTTCTCAACATAGATTTAGTTTTTACTCACTCTTTCTATTTTTGCTATCTCTGACAATTGCTTAGCTATCTAAATTTCGAAGCCTTTTTCAGCATAATAAAAAAGTCCTTTTGGTAGAAGTTTATTGGTCCCATTTCAAATTATGTTCTGAAATATTCTTGTACTGATAAGGACTCTTTTTTTTTTTTTTTCTGTTTCAACACAGTATATTAAGCCATGCCTCTCAACCAATCAACCTCAGTATAAAGTGTAAGTGAGGTCAAATAGATTGCTCACTAAACCTTTGATCAAGTTGTCTGGTCACATATAGACAGAACTCTCTGAATTGTTGCATATGTTGCATAATGTTCTCATATAAATTTAAGCATTTTCATTATTGACTGCTGCTTGTGTAGGTATATATTAGCTTGCTGGTCATAAAACAACAACAAAGGACAAGATACACCAATACTAAATTAAGACCTCTGGTCTTGTCTCTCCAGAAATTAAGAAAAATCGATGTTCTTTATGATTAACCGATTCATGGTGTTGTGCTTCAAATATACACATTTTCTCAAATTAAACTGTGAAGTTTATGTCAAATACTGTGTTGTAACTTTAAATATAACTGACATATTAGAACAGATAGATGGGTAATTATGATAAACTACACAATAGTGCTACTGTAGATAATATCATTTATCAATCCTGTGGTCCCCATCATTCATGCATTTACAGTTTGGAAATACAGTGACTGCAAAGGATAATAATTCATAATGGCTACATTCTCAGTACTTCATGCTAACTCACTAGACAAAACAAAAAAAAAGGTTAATTGTATAACTGGAAAAATGTAAAATTTTATTCCAAGAAAATTAACAAGCTACACAGGTAAATTTTGGCAAATGCAACTTTATATTGAAATCCACACATCTGTATCTTAAAGAAGGAAAGACTCACAGACTCTAATGTATTTCTAAAATACTAAGAAATCATATTATATGCTTTCACAAGTTAAAACTTAAATAATTTAAAACAACCAATACACCAAAATGTGCAGAAAATATAAACAAGACTGTGCCTTCAGTAGAATAAATGCTTCACAAATTGTGCAAGATATCATACTAAGGCTGCGGTCTCCCCATGACAGCTGTCTTAAAATATAAACATACATCAACTGCCTGTGTTTCTCGGAACAAACTAGAAAGGGCGGCACACCTAGAAAAAAAATTCTATCATCCCAATGATGTGCATACTGATTTTGGGAACCATCGGAGTAAAAAGAAAAAGAAATAAAAATAAAAGGACTAAGTGATCTTTCATGCACTCCCAGATGACTGACCAGAGTTACTGATTCAATTTTCCTTGCTTATTTGCTTCAATGCTAAACAAAATGGAAGATACTAGATAACCCTTTAAGGCAACATGTGTTTATTCTGTATAATTATAACTGTTCAATTATGATTGGTTATTATCATTATCGTTGCCTAACAGACTGATATCTAGCTTTTTAAAAAATATAAATAAGCGTATATTAAACTTTATACCAAATCAGCAAAAACCACAGAATACAGTTAAATGTTATTAATTTCACTGTTAAGGAAAATGGTATTTAGAAAGAGTAATATATTTGGAAAAAAAAAGTCTAAATCTGAACAAAAATACTGCTTTGGAATGCTCCCCAAAACTTACTTACAAGGCAAACAGATTTGTAAGTGTGATAATCCAATAATGCATGGCACATCTTTAATCAGTTACAGTACTTGAGTCCCCAGATTTCAGTCTTTGCAAAACAACAATTGTATGAAATGTTTTAAAGGTCTTCAGATGTCTAAAATTAGTTTTATCAACACATTAACCCCATATCAACTTAATTTATTAAGATGTCCAATGCTAATCTTTTTGATGGTCTTATTTTATGTAGTGATATACACAGCATTTAGCACTGATACTTAGCACCTGCTACTTTCATAATCTAGATTTCAACCACATAAAGGAATTCAGGGCAGTAGTTCAGTCCTTTGTTCTTAATTACAAACCTCAGCAGGAACATTGTTAGGTTTAAAACAGGATTAGAGGTGAGCTATTGCAAAGACTGCAGAATGTTGCCCAAATCCTTACAACTGCTGACATCCCATTCTTGATTTTCTTCTCGAGACATGGCTACAGGCCACAATTGCTTAGCAGAGAATGGTAGTGTTTCACAAGGCTAAAGATTTACAGATGCTCCCTCATATAACACAGTAAGGTTCCCTTGGTAACCTGGATTTTCTGCAGTAAAGAAGGGTTGTGCTGAAACAGCGCCTCAGCTCCCTGTTGGAGAAAATGCAGACAAAAGGATTGATTCCAGCTTGGGCAAAACTCATCCAGACAGCGGCCGTTAGAAATCCCCCGGGTACTACAGGCCCTCTTGCAAAAACTCTCCAGTAACAGGCTACCAAATAGGGACCCCACAAGGTCAGAAAGAGGAATGTCATGATGTAGAACATTCTGCTGATTCTCTTCTCCATTTTGAACTCATCTAAAACCAGTAGCCTTCTCCTGCCCGTGGTGTTCGCATTTTGCCTGATTCCCAGCAAGGTTGGAGGTGTGGGACCCCTTCCAAATCCAGCCAGCCAATTAGCAGCTGCTTGACCACTGGCTCCAGGACCGTGAAAAGTCCAGTTCTGGCTCACTGCTGCAACAAACTGGACTGGCTTCATTTTCCTGCGATCGTGAACAAAAAAGATCAGCTTGAGGTAGACAAGCTGTGTGGCTAGGAGGATAAGGGCAAGGAGAAGCATAAATCCCAAGGAATCATTAGCCCTGAAGGAACGATGCTGGAAAGTGCATTGGTCTTCCTCCCTAATGAACGAGTAGGTGCCCACATCTAAAACCGGGGGGAAAGCCATGGCTACAGAGAGGGTCCACACCATACAGATAACTGCCAAACAAGTCCAGAAGGTCAGTCTCTTTGTATAAAAACGGTGGTGGGCAATAGCTAGGTATCTGGTGACGCTTATGCAGAACAACATGAAAGCAGTGTGGAAGCAGGACAAAACCCCCAAAAAGGCAATCACTTTGCAAGTAAGAGTCCCATACGTCCAAGTAGAGCCATTTTTTACAGAGGTGAAAACAAATGGGAAACAAATTGCAGATCTGAGGATATCTGAGCAGCAAAGATCCAACAGGAAGTAGTAAGGAGCTCTATGCAAGGTCTTATCTTTGACTAGCAAAATGGAGATCAGAAGGTTACCCACCACACTGACTCCTATTATGAAACCCAGTGAAGTCAATTTCAGGAAAGCTGTTAAAGGAGAGAGATTTTGTAAAATGTTGTCAGCTGCATGGCTGTAGTTCGCCATAGATGGATGGATGATATGTATATTGCCTCAGTCAAGTCTCATGATCTATATATAAGAACAAGGAAAAAATAGATCCATACATCTTACTGCAAATGTAATCCACAAACAGAACTGATCTTGTGTCTAGTCACACAGTACATCCTCTTCTTTCTGATTTGTCATGCCATCAAAATATCTGAAAAAAAATCGAGCTATCAGTTCTTAAGTTAACAAGAAATTATGTCAGAAAGTGCTAACAAAGATGTTAGTTTATGGAGAACCAAATGAAGTTGTAAATTTGAGTACTATTGTTTGTTTTTAAAAATCATGAGGCTTTCTCCTTTACACTTCCTGTTTAGCATGTTTGATTACTGGCATTTCACAGATTGGGCTAGTGACAGTTTCAGAACTGACCAGTGCCCCTTATATTTGATAGTATATATAATTTTACAGTTAAAGCCTCAGAGATTTTATGAATCAAATGATTCCCGGTCTGCAAGTCCGAGAGTTAATCACTGACATCTGAAAAAAAAAGAAAAAAAAAAAAAAAGAAAAAAAAACCCAAACACTTCTGATATTTTGACATTACCTACATTTATTTTATGGCTACGGTATTCGTCTATGTTTTAGAAGCAGCTGCTGTGTTGATACGGATCACACCCAAAGAAACCCTGCAGAATTTATGTTTTTTAACCCAAGTCACCAAAGCACATTAATCACCCAGTGTTAGTTCATGCACATAGGAGAAACAGTATTCATTATCACCTCCCTTCCTGCTATAGACCGTAATTTTGTCATTTAGGCTTTCAAATAAACAGGTACGCCAGACAGACGATAGCTCTACGTTTTAGGGTCTTCCTTCCTTTCTCTCCCTCCCCCCCTTTTTAATGCAAATCTTTAAAGCCTCGATATAATTCCGAATAGGCAACGGTTAATGGAAATACTGAGGAGGGAGGAAAAAAATAGGCAACACACCCAAGATATAATAAAGATCCTTTTGGGAGGGCTGCTTTTGGTTATGCTTAAATAAACATATAATAAACGGATTTTTTTTTAAAGCTAATTACTGCTCCTCGA